TCCCATCAGAATGGTCAGGTCCTTTGTTGGGCACTTCTCGACTATTGACTGCAGCCTATTGTAGAATTGATCTTTAGCGTCTTCATTGTAGTCGTTGGTAGGCGCATAGCATTGGATGATGTTCATTGAAATGCCCTCTTTCTTTGTTTTAAACGAGGCTTTGATGATCCTTGGTCCATGAGATTCCCATCCTATAAGTGCATTTTGCGCTTGTTTGGACAGCATCAATGCAACTCCTTGTGTATGTGGTGCATTTTCTTCTTCATGGCCGGAGTATAACAGGAGCTCTCCTGTAGTTAGTCGTTGTTGTCCAACTTGTGTCCAATGTGTTTCACTGATCCCAAGTACCTCTAGGTTGTATCTCCTCATTTCTGCAGCAATCTGGAAGGCTCTTCCGGTGTCCCACATTGTACGAACATTCCATGTACCTAAATAAATGGTCGCTCAGGTTGTCAGAAGGGGCATCGGTTTCGTAACTTCCGAAGGGATTCGGCTTTCATCATGAGGCGTCATAATTCTTCTAAATGAAGATCTTCTGACTCCCAGGGCAGAGTTTAAAAGGTTTGAATAATTTTTCTGGTTAGCGTTTTTTTTAGCGAGTTAGTTTTCTACGGGATGGGGACGCTAACCCCATGCCCAACCCTCCTCCTTTATCCGGGCTTGGGACCGGCAGTAGCCCCCGGAGGGACTCCAGGCGGAGTTCCAGTGCCACTACGCAGTCATAATATGTTAATCACAAGATTATGAGTGGACATGCGAGAGCAATGGCAGAAGACTAACACGACATGTTAAAATAATATAATTCAGGAAGATGTTTTGGATATAATCTCTCAAACAAAAATTCCAACTGGAAGGAGAATGTAGTTTTATCTTTTGCTCATCAAACGATTCTTGAAACCAAGGAAAGAATTACCAAGAAGATTGACATTCACTATGTAGAACATAGAGGAGATCGAAAATGGTGAACGCAGGAAAATTTAATCGGTATGGAATAACTGAGCCTTGGAGGTATTACAGAAGTGAAGACGTTTAACTGATTAAAAACTCATATACTTTTGTGTCTGAAATGAAGCTTGGTTTTATTGTTATACTTGAGTTCGTAAGTTACGAGTAGATCAACATACCATGCTTCAATAACGGTAGAGATCAGAACACTGAACGTAGCAGGGGGCGTGGCCATTTTGTGTAACTCGTGTCTTTCCACATCAAATATATTATTCTTTCCTCATCCGAACTGCGTTCTTTAGGAGTGTTAAACACCATATCGCTGGTATTCACGATAGGATGAGTCAGCATAGACAATAATATGATTTCCACTTAAGATCTTATAAACCAGGTAGCCACATCATGACAAATCTACAATTTTGGGATTAAGTCTATTGTTATAATAACAAGTATAAATGTACTAATGCCGAATGGGACCATAATTCTACTAGAACATACTGGCTGACGCAAGGGACAGAATGTTTACTACAGACAACAATAAGATCCTTGAGTAGATAGAAAGTTATACTGGACGATTTTGATCACAAAATGTTACCTGGCATCAAAAACGTAAGTTGGGAGCGGCAGAAAGTGATTTCACATCTAGCTAGCCAACGAAATACAAGCTGATTCGAAAAGACACCATTAATTCGTTGCCCGGAGGAAACCTATAAACCAAGGAATCCATGACGAAGAAGATCCTACCAATTTAAAATGATGGGGTGAAACCTTGATTACTATTGTCCCGCAAAATTAAGCCAGTTACCTACAAGTAAGTGGTATACTGCTACATCGGTACCTGTTGAAGGTTTAGAACATGTTTAACTCATGGAGAAACCGAAACTCTTACGACTAGGAAATTCACTAGGTTGTGACATCTACCCCAAGGCCTTGAAATAGTGCGCGAAGAAAATGGACGTACTAATGGGCCACCCATTCATGCACTCACCCGAATCTCAGCAACTTATCGGAGTGTGGAATCAGTATACTCTATCTTCAATCTTCAAAGAAGAAAATGGGAAAGTTCAATCTTATCATAGACCAGTTTATATAATCTTGGAAGTCACAGGGGACTTTGAAACGGGCTTAAACAACGCGAAAGGGGGACAAAGAAGTCGATCGATTTATATTAGTAAGCGACAATGGCATTGGATATTGGATAAAGGTCGTTACCAAATACCAGGAGTTTTAACTACTAGGTCAGTCCAGGTGTCTGGATCAAATCTAGTTTGAGGTTAGAAGGGTGGGGGCTGGAGTCAGTCCTTATCTAGTAAGTTTCTGTGCATGTAGAATATCCTCATAAACGGGAAGGCTTAAATTACGGATGCTGTTCTCCGTAGGATGTTCATATAGTTAATTACTTGAGCGAAAACACGTATTCCGGAGGATTCTTTTTTGTTTCAAGTTTTTAAATTCACCTGGTACCTCCGCCGAGTTGTCCCAGCCTAACCGTAGAGAATCTAAGACTAGTTATCTTTTACCTGATTGTTTCGTTCATCATTTATAGTCTCGCCCATAAGTAAGGTACTAGTTCACGTGCACTTCTACCTTGACCTAATAAAACCTAACTTGTTCAGTCTTAAAATGTTTGATGACATTGTGTTTGTTCATTGTCATCTGTTAATAATTCTAACATACAGTAGTAACACCACGTAATTGGATGTCTAATCGGAATGAAAATGTTCAACTTAGCTGTATTTTCTGCGTCCATTAATAGTAATATCACTATCATTGTTTAACTATTTGGTCGCTCAATGATTCTTCACACACTGTAAGGCGTTTCTTGATGCTTGGTATCAAGTATTATTCCACAAATAAGTAGTGTACACCAAATAAATGTATTCGGAGTTTGAAGTAGAAAAAGTTGTCACCAAGCTACCTGTTAGCACATACGTAGTGTAAAAACAAATATTCAGAATCTTTCAGTAGTTACGAGTTACGGTGTTTGCTCACTCATAGTTAACTATCACACCCTATGTAAGGTGGTTGCTTTTATTTGTCATACAAAGAAGTTAGTTCAGATTATTACTAGTCATTCCGAGACCTAAAAATGTAATGTTGAGTTTTAGTAGGAATACAATTACAGACTACTGACTCTGTGCCGGTCTTCCTATTATATTACAATGGATATTTTCCTTAGCTACTCAAGGACTTCATACCTTTTTATATCATTAACTGTATTCCAAACTTATCCATGTTTACACATTTTACTCCTCAAATCGAATGCTGAAATACTACTTAGCTGTTTCTTGTGATTAATTTTCAAATAGATGATAACAGGTAAAATCTTATCTCCTGTTGACATTCTTTTGTCGATAGGTTCATGTCATTAGCTGCCAAACCATTATCACCTTACTTAGGTACAAGATTCTGATAAATAACAAGCTATCTTCTTGTTAGGCTCCACCTAACTAGTTTATTTTATTGGTCACTAGGTAATATAACTAAATTTTCACCACGCGGTTGGCGTACAAAAGGAGGCCACAAACAGCGGTCTGTGCGTTCGTGTCCTTTTGATAACCCTACGTACCGTTCATCTAAATACCATATTGGCGACCAATTACTGCGATATAACAATAAACGCTATTTCTATCCAAAAATTTGTTGCCGCTCTTTAGAAAGTTCACAAAAAGCAGCTACGGTATCGTCTGTTACCTGTAGATTGCAAAATGTTGATTTATCATATAAACTAGGAAGGTCTAAGGTTGTAGTCCTCTTTGAAACAATGTGAGATTGTTGCTCGAATGCTACGTTTTCGATTACGTGGCCAGCTTTCCATCTAGCATAACGATGAAACGTTTACTGCGTTATCAAATGTCATAGAATATTATGTTGAATAGCCTCCTAATGGCCTAATACGGCCGAGAGTGGGGAGAGTCAGCTCTCCCTCTCCAAATGCTCTCACATGGCCACGTGCATAAAACAACTGCCAGGGAAGTCCTACTCACTGCCTTCTCGCAGCATTACTGTTGTTTACGAAATTGAGAGGACGAAAAGCGAATGTCCGGCGCTTTAACCAGATTGGTGGACCCCCTGGGGGTTCGGGACAGCCTAATTCCAAACCAATTGTGTATTTTGAAGAAACAAATGGCATATAAACCTGTTGTTGGTCACTGGCTACCATGGGACTGTATCTCTTGAAGTTGCTCCACTGACTTGTGGATTACACCTTCAAGTCAAATGCTCGGGACGTGACCTATGAAAACCACCTGCCCCGGTTTGGTCACTCAAGTAGTATCTCAGCCCTCACACAAATCGGATGATTTATGTGGTGCAGATATATTTGGTGCATTCTTATAGCAATGTTTATGTGTTTAAATAATAATAATGTTGTATAGACTGTAAGAATGATAGTGTTATTGACAAAGGGACACAAAATATGGAGAGCTGTCAATAAACAGTAAAAAGGTCTATTTTTTTGCAAGTTCGAAAGCACTTTATGTATGCACACTATGAAAGCTGACATTTTAAGACGTCTGGAAAAGGAAATTTATCAGTGCTTCACAAGTTCTGAGCCTAAAGAGTTTGTTCGTATTTACTCATTTTGGAGGTGACTGTCGAGATGTGTTCATTCGGTAAGGAACTTTATAACTGCGAGAAGCAAACCGTAAAGCAGTGCTGGTTGCTCAATTTTATAGCTGATCATTTAGGACCCTCAACTCCGTAACGGAACAGAAACTTATTTAAGAGCGTTATTACCTATTTCTCTTGACCAAAACGACTTTATATAATAAAGTTCTAAGGAATGTCTTAGATAAAACGAAATGACAACAACTTAAAAAATAAAAACATGATCATAACAATATTAAACAATAGAGTTTAGAAAATAACTAAAGTGCAATGTTTATCTATTTTGTTATCATAACATATAATCCGGTTCATTCCGCCAGATATTCATCCCACAAAGCTTTTCTTTCAGTTTACTACCACAAAACAAAAAATTTTCGGCCTTGAAATTCGCTCAAATAATTTGAACTGTACGCAGCAAGTTTAATAGATTCCATATTCGAAAAGAAATGGTTTCCCTCGATGTCCCTCTCCCAACTATTGAGGAATTGACTGTCCCAGAACTAAAGATATCAAAGTGTCCACTGCTGGCCGCAAGCATTCATTTAGGGAAGTTTTGTGACAATGAGTCCAAGGTAATTTCCCAAAACAATATTTGTATGTATAGGAATTCATGCTTTGCCATTATGAAACACATGACCCAAGAGCTTGTCTTGGAGAGGGAAAGGCTCTTACCAGTTGCGCCCAAACCTTTTTCAAACAGATTAAACGGCATTGTGAAGATGAATTTCGCAATTACTTTACCTGCCTTCACAAGTATGGAGGGCCGGCTTACAGCCTAACAAAGTATGTTTTTTGCTTATCGGGGTATTATGTAGGTTTTTAAATATTCTTATGTTCATTATCTTGTTACTGAGGTGCCAATGGTATCATCTTTGGTCTTTGTTCTCATGTAATCATATGGCTAAAGTGTGGAGCAATCGGTTAATAGCTGAACTGCTATCAGTAATGTAAAAATAAATAATTCTTTGAAATTAGATAAAGATGGCTTGTGCTAGCTTCATGTTCGTATGAGTGTAAATTTCATGGGAGAATTGAAAATCTATTATCAAGTAAACAATCTCATTACAAATTTCCCATACCGACCTTTTTTATATTCACTAAACTGTGAAAGTTTTCTATGGAGAACTGGAAAATGTAAAGTCTTTTGAAAATAAAACCTCATGTCAATATATGTGATATATCTGATTAGATATTTTACAATGCGAACCTGCTATACAGCTAGTAATATCTTGTCTGCGAACTAGTCAACCATACATATAAATTCAGATAGGTAGATACTATCAAGCGTACGTGGATCATAGTAATTTCACTGCTGATTTTATGTTTCACAAATTTTATGAATTGGTTTATTTCTTGCCATATACATATTGTAGATCAATCCCACTGCGTACTTGCTTGGGGTTTGAATGCAGAACTGGGTATGGTTTGAAAATTAACTCAATAAATATTCACTAAACACTTCCAGTGCTTCCTTACGTGTTCTATAAAATTGGATCCAAAAGGCTTTCCATAATGCTAACTGGTTAAACCACCACATTAAAATATCCTTTGAGTACTGATTTCAAATGCAAAACAGATGAACCTAGATAATTATTACTGGAACAAGAGACAAATAATTTTTTCTTACCAATTTTATTGATATAACTGTAATTTGAAAGCCTGGTTTGGTTTTTGTTTTATAGATTTGAACATTGTGTTAGCTAGTGAAAATAGGCCTTGGTTTCTCAGAAATCGTTTATATTTTCCTCACAAACATATGCTTGACTATTATTGATTGTGAATTCATGGTTAATTCACTACCCAGTTTTTCGTAGCATTGGGTGAAATTTCTGCCAAACCAGACTTGAATGCATCATTTATTTTTTCGAATAATCGGGCATGCATAGCTTTATGATTTAACGATTCCCAGTCTTTAGATCTATAGACCCAAAATTCACATACTTTACTTAAAACATTCTTATGTTTTTGTTCTTCATTGATGTGGTAAATGTCATTCACAATCTTGAGTACGGACGTTTTATGTTTTTTTCTAAATTATATTTATTTTCATTTATAATGTAACTTTGGACACTATTTTCCGTATATTCATACGTGCTTGTCTTCAACTTTACTGACAAAAGTTTGGAAATAATGATTATTTCTACAAGTTGGAAGTGTAGTGAATGAATGAAGCAAACGGTTTTAATGTAAGATTTAATAAGAAAAATGGTTCTCCCAAAATCTAGTATACATTCACCAATTAATAGGTCAATGCAACGCTGAATCTTCGGTATTATTATCATCATATCTTCTAATAATCTCACTAGTGTTCATATTGCGATTCCATCTACACTGGTCAGGATCTTACCTTCTAAACATTATGAATATATACATAGTAGTTTTAAGACTTAAATAAGATGTTAGTTGGAATATTGTTAAACTCATAAGGTATTTTCATTGTCACCATCATGAAAAAGGTGTATACTTATAAGGAATTCACTAATATGCAACTCTTTTTTGCATTCTATTTTCCATGTAGTTTAATTAACAAAATCTTAGAAACTTATCCTATGTTAATTCTTTTGTTTTACATTAATTAGATGCCGCGTAGCTCAGTATCCTTTTGATGAATGTATAAAAACTCACCTCAATCAAGAACGCCCGAAAACGGATTACTTTAATGTTGTTCGTCTTCACAAAACGAATCGGCCTAGATATAAACCTGGATTAGCTCCAATGCCCGAAAGAATTCCAGATTTGCCTAACTTGGATCATTTTGAAGAGCCTGAACGTATAAAGCACAGAGAAAAAATGAACGAACTATTAACTTAAACTTATACAATGACGCAACAAAATACAACATCTGGTTATTGTCAAGTATATATAAATATAGTCATTTTAGCTTAGTAATATTTAACATTCTAAAACTTGTTAATTCAATTTGTAAAAATCAAGATAGTCTATCAAAAGTTTGTTTTGCAAATATCCTACAAGTACATCAGCATGTACTTAATAAAATGTGTGACGAATAAAGTAGGTATTATTTTTAGGCTGAATCCTGATGCGAAACACTATCATTTACTGATCAAGTGAAAGCAAAAAGATCTTTGAAATGAAATAAATCCCTATTTTAATTCATAACCTTTCACCATCTACATATTGCCACAACTACAGCAGTTGTGCTAGTAAAGATCTTGAAGTCATCAATGCTTAAATTGTGTTAGTTTCTATTTTGTTAAACAAGTGGACGTATTTCGTTGAAAACCGACAACTATATTGTATTAGAGATGTGACGGTCAGCTGCTCATTGAAACAATGTGAACGACTCATCACAGAAGAGATACCGGTTCATCTACATTAAGAGACTGATAATAATCCTAAGGTAACACAAATCGAAGCAAATCAACGACTGGGATATATTTTTCTTTAGTTTCACCGAATAACTAAGCATTAGTTAGTAACACCAATGAAAACGTCGCTTCTATAAACTTACTAAAGTTGTCTATTTTTTAAACGTACCATATAAATTAATGATACTGTGTCTTATACTGATCCCTTGCTACCGTCTGTTTAGGAAATGATGAGTGTCGTTTTGGTGAAGTGAATACTGGGGTTGTTGTAACTTCCAGAACTATTTTGCGGACTACTGTTGTTGACGATTTTATCGTGTAATTATTAAATAATCAGATTATTGTTTTTCTCTACTCCCCGTACTGTAATTTTTTGTCAGAACTCTTGACAACTGCTATACGTTTTGTTATTCCCTAATTATTGTTGACTACTTATGCACTTCTCTCCGTTATCTGACACTTATGGCATGATCATATGTAACGAACGGCTTCTTGTTTCTAGTCCCTTGCTGTCTAATAATTTAAGTGTATCAGCTAATGAGTATTTAAGGTAAATATGCTGGGCATCTGAAATGTAGAATTAGAAGCTTGCCTACTATATTCTCTTATCCAGATTCAAGAATTGAGGTTGGGTGTTCGAGTCAGCGGAACCAATGGTAATTATGATTATCACGATTCTACTCAAAGTTAATCCTACCGGCCTATGCTCGTAATTAGTCACGTTACGTGGTTAGCCTATGTAGAAGTATATTACGAGATTCTGATCACCAGGTCTATTATAGATATCGATTGCTTGTCGTGAGTGACGAGTCCCATAACTTATTAATCCTGTGCTTGAAGCGACGGGTCTTGTGTTCAAGTCAATGTGAATTATGTACAAACTCAATCACATGCACTATACAGACTTTACATCCCACTGCCATCAATAACTAAATACACTTTAAGAAAGACTGTTAGTTATGTCGACGATTCAGAACAGTTAACCTACATTCCAAAAGGGTCTGGTTAATTGGGGTATTTAAAAATATCGTCCATCAGTATTATCTAGTTATTGTATAAACGAAAACTGCCAGGAAGTGCTCACCAAATGAAATTATTTTTAAAACACCATACTACTATTTAGTAGTTCAAAATTTTCTATAAAACTAGTCAAGAGTAACTTCATAGCCTACAGCTGAATCCAGTGCATACCATTGTAAATCGAAAAGTCCCTTTATTCCCAATCCAGAATCTGGTTTTCTGACTGATAAAGTTCATATGATAAATGTGTAGGTTTTATCAACTACCTGTTGAACATTTTAAATCCAACAAAAAGTTAAATGGGTTTTTTTAGTTAGTCAATTTTTTGTTCGATGAAAATAATTCGCATTTAATTTCAAGTTTGTAGATCAATTCTTAGTAATAATCATTAGGGAGGATTATGAATAGTAATATCTCGTGAAAAGTGAATTATTGTCGAGCATATTTGTCTCTACTAGATCTTGGTACTTTACAAAATGATTTCAATTCTCATAATACTGATATCCTATTTTCATATGATTGGAGACTGAAAGTAATGGTAATATTTTTTTTACACCGGAAGAATGTTAAGGATATAAATATAAACAAAATGACGAATATATGTTCAGCACACTACTATAGTTTTAAGTATGTACACAGCGATGTATAAAATGTTCTAATCTTGCAATCCCCAAGTGTTTGAATGTAAATTGGTCACATAAATTGTAGGTTTTAAGTTTACTTGCGTATCTTTTAGTTAGTTAAATGTTATTCGACATCAGAATAATATAACTATGTTAGAGTAAGCCTTTTTCTCATACAAAAACTTTTGCAACAAAATATCCGTTTGAATGTTTGGATCCGCCTTTTTTCACTGTTATACTTAACCTGCTTTTTTAAAACTTGTTTTTTTTGTATCATTGGGTACTTCAAATAGAGTTCTTTGATGTATTTAAGTTAACAGTTAATAATGACAACGACAGTTGCTTTATTCATTCTCGAAAAAGGAACCACATTCATAAATTCTTTGTAAATTATCGGTTCCTTCTTGAATAGTCATATACGACGAAACGCGTATTATAGATTTCACTAATCATATATCAAATTTACAGAAACATAATTGTAATCCACTTACCGACCAATAAACCCGAGACATTGCTACCCAAATTTCTTACGGCTCATCAAATCAATACAAAGAAAATAAGCAAATAAATGGTTAAAACACTTGTTCAACGAAAAACTGCAAATGATCTCTCATATTCGGGATGCTGTAGCTCACTAAACTAGGAATAAACGGATAAATGATTATCCCAATACGTTTTAGTTAAGATTATCGAATTTTCATAGTTGATATTGCGAACTAATCTTAGTTAGATCACTAATGAAAACCGGGAGGCACTGAACAGTTGTTTTATCGTAGTATAGAATTTTTCAGAAGTATGCGTTCCCGACTTCAAGCCTACGAATCAGATCAGTCCGTAAATTAAACTATGAAAACTCAATAATCCCCACAAATCCCCCATATTAATTATAATCATGTGCTCTCTAGTGACTAACTTCAGGATGTAATTCCAGGAGTTCTAGTGAAAACCATAACTAGTAGATTTCCATCATGTCGAGTATGTGAAAGGCACACTCACAAGGAATGGAAGATAGTAGAGCAATATCGCAAATTGATTGAAGTTAAACATATACACCATTGGATGCTGATTCAATAGTTTGGAGGTCGGAATTTCGTGTGCGAGCACTAAGATCTTAGTTTAAATCTGTCGTGGCAAGATCGTGGATTCACATTTCTGAGAAGCCCCACAGTAGGACAAAAGTGTTGTCCTGAACTTTCTTGACTTTTAATGATTGTCTAAGGAAGATCAGCCAGTCGTATAAATTACAAAAACTGATGATTATATGAAGGCATGTAAAACTATTCCTGTATATTATTTCTTTCGTTTATTTTTACTATTAATTTCCGAGTTATTTGTTTATTCAATAAAATGTCACTTAAGGTCATATGTATATATTAACGTTTTGGTATGATCCTACAGCATGAAGGATGAACTCATTAACAAATTTTTAATTTTTCAGGAAAGTCACGTAGAATATCTGTCAGTTGACAAAATATATCATAATATATAAGATGAATTTCAAGTTCAGTAAACCTTGAAAAATAATATTGATAAGCTTATAAATAATACTGATAATTATGTTTATCTTCTTTATGCAAGCTATATACTATGGAGTTTTTTCATGGTTTTTAAAAATATACTTCTTTTAATTATTTGATCATAAAGTTAAGTACAATACCAACCATTTTATTTTGCATAGATGAGTACACATTAACATAAGAGGTGCTTTAAAAGAGGGTTTATACAAATGAATTTTCAGAGAAATTGAAGTATACTTAAGGAAGTGCCATTTACCCAGTCTTTTTTAACACTTTTTCCTCTATCGAATTTGACTTTTCTAACGAATTTTTCGTCGATTTCTACGATTTTCCCGATTCCTCCAAACGACTGGTTCAAGCTTGTCATTTTCATTGCACATATATCTGGACAGTACTCATACCATTGGACTACTGGAGCTTCAGTAACATCTGAAAGGGTTACAGCTAATGTTACTGGTGCTTTTATTATCTAATTTACAACAATTATCATAACTTGTCTTAGTGTGAGTCGGGGTCGAGTGGTAAAATTCCCCGTTCTAGGAGACATTTTCCTACAACATGAATGCATATATACAATAACATCATGATAGTCTGCATAATATCCAGAAGTCATTGGAACACTGCAATCAGGAATGAAGGAACTTCTAAATAACCCCATCTGTTGTAGCTGCCGAACTATAACGTCTCCCTTGGAATCCACCGACCACTGGGCATTGAAATAGATGCCATGACCTTATAATAGCTCACTTACTTCTGATTGGCTCGTTCATAAATTTTAGTCTCGCTCGCAATATACAAGAATAAATCAACGTTTTTAAATCCCCAAAACATACAGATGACCATCAGTAAAGATACTCCAAAATATCACTGGGAAAGTACGCTTGGAAAATTCATAGATACAATTGTTAGTTAAAAGATTTAGCATACAACTCAGCTATCTCTTTTTGTCAGTTACATTTTTACTCTTATGATATTAGTAAATTGACTTCATACAATTAGTCGCTCAGTAGCTGATGATGAGTTATACTTTCATGAACTTTACTTGAAATTTGACGTCACACAAATTCATTTCTACAAGTGATCTCATGTTTGTGTGGTTGGTGAAGAGGTGATCGAATTCGATTGTTCAAGTCATAGTAAGGTCACTAGTCTATTTTAATCGACATCGCATGCAGAGCGTTTGGACCTAAGGCTGTTAGAGGTAATTAACGTTAAATATTGGATTTAGATTTCATGTTAGCTAACACGCGTGTATATGGCAACTCGACAATCACTGAGAGATCTGATACCCGTTGTGTGATATAGATCCACGTCACTCAGCT